TAGGTCTCTGGCATAATCTCATACTGGTCTAAGATTGTGGCCTTCAGTTTCTCATAATCAGTGGCTTTGATTTTCACCGAGGCCCTGGGGGCCTCTTGGGCCTCTCCTGTGAGATACAGCCCCAGGATGAATGACCATTGCTCCTTGGGCCATCAAGCCACCTCCACCATGCATGCAAAGGTTTCCAAGAAGGCCTCCACTTCATCTTCAAGCCCCAATTTAGTCAGAGAAAACCAGGTGTCCCACCCAGCCCCTGCGAGGAGACCTGCACCCCCACCTCCTGATGGCCTCAGATACTGACTGGGCCAAGTAGCTCTTAGAGCCTGTTGGAAGTCCTGGAGGAGTGCAGCCTGGGACTCGTGCTGCCACTCTGTCATGTCCCAAAGCAGCTGCACCTGATGCTTAGCCAGCCATTGCACGAACTACACGAAATCCATCTTTCCTCCGGAGTATTCGGCTCCCCACATTGGTCATTTGACCGCCTCAGGATCTGGTAGTCTCAGAAGGGTCACCAATACTGGAGGCCTTAGATATGGAGAGGAGCTTGTCCAGCGCACGGGGGTAGGAAAGTGGGGCAGGGGTCACCTTAGAGTAGGTGCGGTGCCTGCATTCTCCACCACATTGTCAGGATCTGCAAACCCCCCCCCAGGATAACACTGCCCTCCACTGTTTTGCAAACCACCTGGGGGGGGGCATTCACAGGTCTCAGAATGGGAGGGGGGTTGCTTCACCCTAGTCCTCCTCCTCCTTCTGGCCAGTCAACACAGCCTGGGCTGCTGGCACCTCATCCTTCCTGGCCTGTTGTTAGGAGCCTCCTTTTATACACCTCCCTTTCTTGCCCTGCGACCCCCCCCCAGATCTCCCTTTGGGTCTCTGCCCTGCACACTTGAATCTATGTGCCCCCATTGATCAACTGTGGGAACTTGTCTCCAGGCCTCCCTTTCCTCCTGGTTGGTAGTGTCCTCCCCACCTTAGTGAATGCTCGGGAGAGCAGAACTGAGGAGCACTGGTGTCCTCCTGCCCCATTGTTTTCCACTGGAAGCTGCACACCCAGCCCCCCATTGCCACTGCACCTGGAGGCTCATGTCAGCTGCTACCTGTAGTGACAGACCTCCCCTCTCCGGGACTCATCTAGGCTGCCATGGCCAGCGGCGCAGGCAAGGCTCACTGGATCACTTTTGCTGCGGCTGCCACCTGCCACTCCATCCCATAGTATCCTCTCGCTCTTCACACTACAACTATGTTTTACTTTGCAAATAATGTACCAATACAAAGTTTTAAGCATTTTTGTTCCAGCATCTTTAGGAAAGTAATGTAAGGTTTTCTAAATATGGCCAAAGATAGAGAGGCTGAAAGAATTAAATTTATTACCTTTGCATTTTCCAATCTAGTTGGGAATATTTAGGTCGGAACTCTGTCTTCCTTATTGCCCTTTTTTATGTACCAGCAACCCCTAGTGGTTGTTACTATATTTTTTCTCCTATCGAGATGCTTTAAAAACATTATTAGCAAAACAGAAACATGAAGAGCCTGGAAGCCAAGAAAAAAGACCAGTTCTATGCAACTGGACAGAGTTCAGCCAAATATTCAGAGGATGAACCAAGCTAAATGCCAGCACTGTTGAGCAAAAGCAATTCAGTAATGCTAGCTGACTTGGCATCTCCCTCACATTCAATAGTAATAATTCCTTTTGTACACTGACAAAGTATAGTGTAGGAAGAAGCAACATGGTAAATCCAGTTTCTTGATCGCTCCTGAATAGAAGTCTGGAAAACATGGCAGCAGGTAGCAAAATCTACAACATTTTAGTCCTTGTAAAAATTTTACAACCATCCTGGGAGCCAGTGTGGTCTAGTGGTTAAGAGTGTCAGACTATTATACTACTTTATTATTTTTATTTTCTAATAATAATAATAATTATTATTATTATTATTATTATTATTATTATTATTATTTCCACTATTTTCTTTCTCCCTTTTCATTTCCACAGGTGTAGAGTCTAGTGATCTTAATCAAAGTGCCCCAAGTGCCCCCCTCCACACAAGCTCAACAACAACACGGCTACATTATCACAATAAACAGACAAGCAATGTTTTATTTTTTAGATCATATTGTCAATTACTGAAAACTGCAATGTGTGCTTATAACTAGATGAAAATGTATTCGTTTTGCCAGGTGCACTAACGTTAATATTAACCTTGAATCATCTTTGGATATCAATCAATCTCTTCCTGTTAATTGTAATTTCTATATACATCAATAAAAAATTTTTTAAGAGTGTCATATCTGGAAGACCTGCTGTTCAAATCCCCATAAGAACATAACAGAAACCAATGTTGGATCAGGCCAATGGCCCATCCAGTCCAACATTCTGTCACACAGTGGCTAAAAATACCAGATGCCATCAGGAGGTCCACCAGTGGGGCCAGGACACTAGAAGCCCTCCCACTGTTGCCCCCCCCAAGCACCAAGAAGACAGAGCATCACTTGCCCCAGACTGAGAGTTCCTATCTATACCTTGTGGCTATAGCCACTGATGGACCTCTGCTCCATATGTTTATCCAATTCCCTCTTGAAGCCGTCCATGCCTGTAGCCGCCACCACCTCCTGTAGCAGTGAATTCCATGTGTTAATCACTCTTTGGGTGAAGAAGTACTTCCTTTTAGCCGTTCTAACCGGACTGCTCAACAATTTCATTGAGTGCCCACGAGTTCTTGTATTGTGAGAAAGAGAGAAAACTACTTCTTTCTCTTCCGGCTTTATCCCATGCATAATCTTGTAAACCTCTATCATGTCACCTCTCAGTCATTGTTTCTCCAAGCTAAAGAGCCCCAAGCGTTTTAACCTTTCTTCATAGAGAAAGTGTTCCAACCTTTTTATCATTCTAGTTGCCATATTCTGCACTATTTCCAATGCTATAATATCCTTTCTGAGGTGTGGTGACCAGAATTGCACACAGTATTCCAAATGAGGTTGCACCTGTTAAGCCCACCCTAGGCTCTGGGTGTGGACCGTCCCATGGCCGTGACGACTCAAGATGGGGGAGGTCCGACAGGTCTGGAAGGCAAGGCCTGTAAAGAAGGGGGGAGCGTTGGGGCCTCAGATAGGCAGGGGACGGAGTTAATGACACTCCATAGGTCCCTCTACCTCTGTGCATCGGTTCCCCAGCCTCTCAGCGTCCTTCCTGGACTCTTCCTCTCTCTGGCAGCGTCAGGTATTTCCAAGCACGTCCTTCCTCTCCGGCCCCTTTGCTTCCCTCACCTTTATACCCAGCTCCCTCCCCCAGCATCGTCTCCTGTCCCCGCCTCCCTCTCATTCCTTCCAGCCCCGCCCCCGTGATATGCTCCAATGCCGTCCCTACGGCCTGGGTGTGGTCGGAGCCGGCGTGCGGGGTCTCCAGTGTTTGTGCGTTCACCGTCAGCCTCTCCCTGATGCCGTCGGCCTCTCCTGCTGCTCCTGGAGGCTCTTCGCTGCGCGGCTGGTCTGGTCCAGACCATTGTGCCTCGGCTGCACTGACGGGGTCTGGCACTGCAAGGTCTTCTCGGTCTGTGGGTCTACTGGGTGACTTGGTGGTCGTTGGGGTCCCAAGGGGGTGTGGGTTACGTCCCAGGACCCCGGGGCCCGGGACCAGGACAGCACCATCGATTTATACAGGGGCATTATGATACTGGCTGATGTGTTTTCAATTCCCTTCCTAATAATCCCTAGCATAGTGTTAGCCTTTTTTATTGCAGTCACACACTGTTTCGACTTTTTCAGTGAGTTATCTATTACGACTCCAAGATCTCTCTCTTGGTGAGTCTCTGCCAGTTTGGACCCCATCAATATGTAGTTATAGTTACGATTTTTGGCCCCAATGTGCATCACTTTGCACTTCGTCACATTCAGCCCCATTTGCCACGTTGACGCCCACTCGCCCATCCTCAACAGATCCCTTTGGAGTGCCTCACAATCCTCCCTGGTTTTCACCACCCTGAACAATTTCATGTCATCCGCAAATTTAGCCATTTCATTGCTTACTCCCAACTCTAAATCATCAATGAACAAGTTAAAAAGCATCAGACCGAGTACTGATCCCTGTGGTACCCCACTGCTTGTCCACTGAGAAAATTTGACCATTTATACTCACTCTATGTTTCCTATTAATTAGCCAGTTTTTGATCAACAAAAGGACTTGTCCTTTTATCCCATAACTATTGAGCTTACTTAGGAGCCTTTGATGAACTTTATCAAAAGCTTTCTGGAAGTCAAGGTAAACAAAAGATAACTAACTATAACTACACGTTGATGGGGTCCAAACTGGCAGAGACTGACCAAGAGCTGTAAAATGCAAAATGCACAGGGAGTCTGACACCTACCTCAGAGGGTTGTTGTGAGGATAAAATGGAGGAAAGGAGAATGATCTAAGCCACTTTGGGTCTCCATTGGGAAGAAAGGTGGGGTATCAATGAATTAAATAAATAAATAATTAGGACCAAAAGAGTTTTCCGAGTTTGTCTACTGAAATTACAAAATGTAGTGGTGAAAATGTGATTGTGTATTTTGATTGCAAAATTGGACTTCATAACAAACTAAGTGAAATAAGGAAAAAGAGATCCTTGGCTACACAACAGATACTGCCAGTTTCATAAGGACATTGTCAACTGCCTCCAGTGGATACATAATTTAAAAGTCTGTGTCCAGTAAACATTACTTTTGTCACCTGATGCATTCTGGATCTCTGCTGGTTCTCTCTCCAGAAACTAAATATTGATGGGGGGACAGTTAGTGGCTTGCAAACCAAATAGTGATTTCCAGTATTTTGTCAAGGAAATCTGAATCTGATCATACACTGGAAAAAAAAGATTTAGCTACAAAAAGCATTTCAGCTCTAGCACTTAAACTGTTTGTAAAGGGAAAGGAGGACATATGTGAATACAGAAAAGGTATACACAACATGATTTTCATGAGAAATAAAACTCTGTACCCTTTAACTTAGGAAACAAAATAAAGAATATTACCATTTCTGCAAATATGCAGCCGATACTCCAGATATCCACAGCTGTTGAATAGTATTTACAACCCAGCAAGATTTCAGGAGCACGATACCATAAGGTTACAACCTGAAAGGAGCGACAGTGAAAGTATGACTGCAATTTATGTTTAGTAAGATCTGCGACACCTTCCCTGGTCATGCTCTTGCCCACTGCATCATTTTGCAATTTATTAATCTTCAGCTAAGGCAATTCTTGATGTTTCAAGAGAGAGAGAGGCAACACAGGAGTCTTTAGGCTAGAGCTAAGGCATTATGTTTAGTCCTTGTTATTATCAAAAAGTATCAGAAGCCAGATGATCAGTTCTAATTTGTAAGTTCACGTATACTCCGATTTTTTATGGTTTAGCCACAGCTTCAAATTTCAAATCTCAACAGCCTACCTACCCATAAGAAAAAAAATTTCAACTCATTTTGAATTCAGAACAACCTTATTGCTGTTGTCCTAAACATTCTTTAGTACTTTTTGTCCCAGGTTCTATTCCTATACCTACAAATGATCTAAGGCAGTCAGAGAAAGTGGACCTCATGGAGGATTGCGCAAATGGCACAATACTACATCCTCTCTTGCTACCTTGGAACATATAACAATATATATTGCATGACAATAGACCTGTCAGTCTACTGCAATAGAAATCTTCAAAACTAATAAATGTTTTGTTTTGCTTGAACACTCCAAGTTAAAATTCTATTTCTAATTAAATAAACCTTTGCCCATAGACGTTTTTGCTAAAATAAATTTGCTAGTTTTGAAGATGCCATGGGGATCTATTTTTAAGGATACAAGCACACTCTAGATTAAAACTGAGCACACCTGGTTTTACTAAAGACTGGATATTTTTTCTCTTCCTTACCAACAAGACTACTAGATCCACATTCTGAAGGCAACTCCTGTACCTGCTGCAAAGGCATGACAATTCTGCCTGGCAGAACTTCTCCCATACAGTACTATGTTGATGTAATTCTGATTCAAATACACAGAAACCCCCGACATGGCAACTTTGTCATCTACCTACAGCACTGAGAGAGAGAGAATATGAGAAATTTTACCTCATGAGTATAAGTACGTAATGGAACACCAAAAGCTCTAGCTAAGCCAAAATCTGCTAATTTGATGGCCCCCATTTCATTTATAAGCAAATTCTGAGGCTTCAGGTCTCTGTGTATAACTCTGTGGGAGTGACAGAAGCCCACTCCTTGTAGCAGTTGGTAAAGATAGCTCTAGAATGAAAGATTTCAGAGAACAGGCATGAAGGAACCATAGTAGAACTGACAAGTAATTCATTAAAACTCAACTGCTGTATTCCAAATTCCGGTCACTTGCATATGTAATTTTTGGGAGCAAGGCCAGGCTTGGATTCAATCTGCTTTCTAGTCATTGGAAATGGAGGAGCCTTTGGCCACCCAAAAAGGGCTGTGCATGGGACCTGCACAAACAAAAGTAAAGTGCAGAAGAGGGTATAGTACCAATGGGAATTGAGAGAGACTGACAGATAAAGGTGGCTTGATCCAACCCATAAGCTTTCCACTTCTTGGTTAAAATTAGGGAAGGCAGGGTTTTTTTTTTCCTGGCATGGTTCTTTAACAACTGCATAACATCCAACAGGCCCAATTTGCCTGCCTTGGCCTTTGACTGAATATGAGTTAGTCATGCAGATTTAAAAGGGCTTTCAACCCTCACTTAGGAAAAAAAAGATAAAAGTCCGTATCTTTTAGCAGTTTGATGTGGACAAATGGCATGAGGGAGTAACTTAATGTTTTTCTTGCCAGCTGCATATTGGCTCCAAATCATCTTCAGGCTGTTTCTCCTTCTACAGGGTTCAAAATATGAGTTAATCTTGAAAATATATGTTTGAAACCTCAGTGGGAATAAGCAACTAGGAGGGGACAGGATTTGGGCTGCAAATCTAAGAACGCTTTCCTGAGAGAAAGCCCTTCTCAGTAGACTGGCTCATGATTGCTCCGATGGAGTAGAGAAGCTGTGAGCAGTGTAAGGGTTAATCATCCCTTCCCCTGACCTTTCTGCATTCCAAACTGCCCATCCCAAAGCAACAGCTGTAAGGCTTTTATTACATATGTTAAGCCTTAACTAAAGGAAGGTATTTCATACATAGGTCTTACAGAAGAAAGTAGAGGATCAACACTTTAGAAGATGCACAAAGGAAAAATTGTACCTTGACTAAACTTAAGGGCAAATCCCCTGTATGGGATGAGTCCATATACTTTTTAAGATCCTGATTCAGGTATTCAAAAACCAGATAGAGCTTCTTCTGACTGTGTACCACATCAAGAAGTCTGGAATCAGAATAAAATCCAGTGACTGAATGACTGAGTTTGAAGGGGGGGGGGACAAAAAACTAATGTTGTTGCTATTGCACAAATGAGACCACCACATCTGTTTTAAGAGAAAAGGCCTTTCTCACACAAGTTGCTTCCACATGGAAGTTTTTCTCCACTGAGGCTTCCAAACTGGAGAGCTTTCTTTTGGAGCATACACACAACACTGTGCTCTGTTCATCCTTTCTGTGTCCAGTATGCTGTTTCCCAAACCTGCTTTGCTCCAATCTTTTTTTTTGGGGGGGGGAGCAGTACACTGCTATAATGCTATAGCAATTACTGATTTTTAAAGCCTTCCAAAAGACCTCTGGTGGCACAGCAGGGGAGAAATGCAGGTAAAACAGGGTTTGCAAGGGGCTGGTGGAAGAAAGCGTGCAGAAAACTTGCATGTTGAAGGTCTGTTGCCAATACATTCACAGCAGCAATTAAAGGAACACAGAAAATCATGGAGAATCAGAAACAGTTCTACACTGCAGGAATTAACTACTAGGCGTCTCTGTTTTTACAACTAAACTGTTGTAATTAGGGTTCCCAAGTACCTACCTACGATCCGGCGGGGGACACATGCTTCTCCACCAGAAGATTCTTGCTTGGAACACAGGCGCTGCACTATTCCATCGCCCAGATGTGACGTAGACATGTAGCTGGGCGACGCTCTGGTAATGGGACTGGAAACTCAATGGTACCATCGAGTTTCCAGGCCCATTACCAGAGCGTCGCCCAGCTACGTGCCTACATCATGTCTGGGCAATGGAATAGTGCAGCGCCTGTGTTTTCCCCGCGGGAATGGTCCCGTGAAGAACTATACCTCCCCCGCCGAATTAAGGTAAGTACTTCGGAGCCCTGGTTGTAATACTAATTAAATAGTATATAATCTGCAATATATCTGTCTTCACCAAAGCACCTTTGTTATACTTTGTTTTGATTGAGCCCTCACTTGATACTATGCTGTTTATATATGTTCTCTAAGAGTGGTATAACAGCAGTAAATAACATAAAAGAAGCAGGCATGCCAGTATGTCTCTTGTTAAAAAATCAACCGAGGCCCCAGTCACACGGTGCATTTGCCGCACTGAAGGCACGATTCTCCCGTGGAGTTTTCCAGCGTGATCACACCGGAACATCTGGGAGGCATAGCGCTCCCGTGGTGAACCCATGGCGTCCTGCCGAAGATGCGCATTTAAAAAGTACCTGGGATGACCTACTGGCAAATGGTTTGCCATGGGCTGCATGCGGATTCCCCCGGTGTGATCACGCCGGCACACAGCTTTCTCCCCCGTCGTCCTGTTTGCCACGGGTGCCAAAGGAGGAAGCCGCCATCACATCTGAATGCAAAATCGTGGATCAAACTGCGACGGTGCAGATAGCCACGCCTCCCCCCACCGGCGTTATCTGGCCCGTGTGACCGGGGCCCTAATATATTCTAACAAGAAACCCACCTCGTTGGTTAACTAGGTTTCAATATTTATCTAAATTATGACCTCTTTACTAGTACACTGACTTTCCTGGCACAAAACAAGGGAAAGGAACCCTACTCAGTGAAACCGAGTGGGATGATATGTTATAATCCTAATCTGATAATCATCTCAAACCAGAATCATTGCTGGAGGAAGTCTCAGGGTTTCTAAATCCACTGGACATGTAGAATCAAAAGGGAAATTCCTCACAGAGCTCTCTGAGGAAGAGGAGAATGAGCTATCTGACTCCAGAAGTTTGAGTGGCAGTTTAGACCTTTTAGTACAGGAGTCTGAATTGGCCTACCAACAACCTAAGATTGTCTACTCTCCTCAAGGTCTCCATTAAGCCATACTTAAAACCATTCAACCACTTTTTCTCCAATGAAAAGGACCATTCTTCAAACTTCTTGCAATATCACTTCCGGGATGGCGGTTCTGGCAGTCTTTAGGTCCTATTTACCTATAAGGACCCACTTGATGGTTGACTTTGTTAGATTTGCTTCTGTTGCCTTGGGGAAATCTCCCAGATCCTCAGGACCAAATTTCATGTCACATTAGAATTCCATGATCTAAACATCACCATGTAATTTGATGCTAAGAAGCAGCCATGGGGTGGTGGTGGTAGGGGAGAACCCTAATATGGATTGGAACCACAGTGCTGGGGAAGGAAAAGTGACTCCCCCTCACAGACATGCTGCTTCTCCATTCACAAACTGTCCTCCTCCTAGGATACTTTAAGCCTCAGTAGAGAGGAAAAGATACAATAAAAGTACTTGTCTCTTTTCCTTACCAGGGATTAAAGAAGCCCAGGGGATTGGGGAAATGGTGTGGGGCAGTGGGGGGGGGTTTAAACTCCCCTTTTCCAGTACCAGGGCCTCCATCCACGCTTGCATTAAACTGTGATATGCTGAGAGTTACATACATCACATTCATACAGCTAGAACCCAACACACACTTAATAAAGTCCTGATATGTTTCTTACCTTACTATGTTTGGATGTTTCAATTCTTTCAGCAGAGAGATTTCTCTAATTGCTGTACTGGGAACGCCTTCTGTCTCCCTGTGGGAAAAGGGAGACATCAAACAATCCCATTCTTTCCAATGAAAGCTTTACTAGGCAGAGTAACACCAGCCATCAGCAATTATTTCCTTTCTCATATATCTTTTCCTGTGGGATGATCAGTGCAGTTTATTATACAAGGAACTACAAATAAATTTAATCTAGGGATATAGAGTAACTCAACCAAATGCCACTCCCCTTCTCTCTGTCTCTCAGCTACTAAATGAATGAAGTACTGAAGTGATGCTATTCAATCAATCAAATTGTTTGGTATGATGGAGGCTATGCAAGGACTTAGTAGAGACTCCATATGAATGGGTTCCTTACACATTCCATGGTTACAAAGCTTGGAATTCTCAGGGCATGGTTTGAAAGCACATGATGCAGCAACCTTGCTGAAGCTGAGCAAGCCTAGGTCTAGTCAGTTCCTGCATGGGAGATCACCAAGGAACCAATGTATGCTGTCTTAAATTTCAGTTAAGAAAAGCAGGATATAAATATAAAAAATGAATCCTAAAAAAAATATAAACAGGTCTTCTTATGATGGAAGTGTGGCTGTGTGAATCAGTCTGTCTCCATTCCATTCTAGTGATGAGAATAATTTATGTAAAGAGCTAAACATTGTTAGGCTCTGAACTTTATTAAAGTGAACTCTATCCATAGTTTTCTGGTATTGGTAAAAAAAATCTTTGTTTTCATACATGGTACAGGCAATTCCAAACGCATCCCTGGATCCAAACCTGCTACAGCCAGCAAGCTTCTTAACTCAAATTATGCATGTTGCTTGAAAATCACTGCATTAACCTCCAGAATACTAGATTCAGAGAACAGTCAGTGAAGCAGAAACACAGAGTCCAGGCAAGGGTGTAGACTTTCCAATTTCCCGGAGGGGGGGGGGCTGGGGCTGGGCCAGAGGCATTGCTGTGCTAGGAGCAAGGGTGGCTCCCGGGGGAGGCTGAGCACTTTCCTGAAAATTTCGGCGGAGGCTGAAGCCCCGCCGCCCCCACGAAGATTACGCCTATGAGTCCAGGTACTTACGAATCTAGACGGATCTTCTTCAGAGCAACTAGCTGACCGGTCTGCTTGTTCCTGGCTTTATACACCACTCCATAGGTACCCTCTCCAATCTTCTCCACCTTCTGGAATACATCCTGGAACATGTCCATTCTTCTTTGTTTCTATAACATTTCCCCTGACTTTTAGTAAAAGTTTTATTTTGCCACATCGGTACGCCACAGCACTGCATCCTAGCATTCCTCCCTTCCCACTTGCTTGTAATGTAATAACCTTTCTGTCCAGGCTTGCATAAACATGACCTAAATCCGCTTTATATCTTATACTAGAAATAATGCCCGTTGCGGAAATAAATACGAGATCTAGAAAGAGGCTCTGGGAGAGTGCTCTGGCTTTGGGCAAACAGTGTCAGTTTCCTGTGGCGACCTCAGCAGGGTTTAATGACAGAGTCCACTGTTTTCTCCAGAGGGACTGATCTCTGCTACCTGAAGAGCATTTGTATGTTTGAGTTATCTGTAGCCCTCACCTGGAGAGTGGTAACCATTGTTACCCATTCTCCTCTCCCCTATGAGGTAAGTTATGCAACTGAAAATTCCAACTGCCTTGCGGGGGGGGGGGAGGTTGAGGTGTGGAATGGACTGAAGTCCAATCAGCTTCCATATGCAAAAGACCAGGTTGTCGTAGCAGTTGTGGTGTGGGCGGGACCCGGGCTTTGCCTTCTGATTGGGGGCGATATATGCTGAGGAGCAGTGCCATCAGCCATACACTAAGGGAGTGCATTTTAGAATTAGAACGTTGGCACCCACTATTCAATTATATATAAGGAGAGATGCCACCTTTCTGCCACATTCAGGCATTCAATGTGGCCTACAGTATATAAACAATATAAAAACACACTTAACAATGTTAAAAGACAGCAGAAGAAGAACCAAAATGACAAAAAACTGTAATTGGTAGGGGAGAACCACACTTAAGCACCAAAGCTTTAGATAAACAGGACAGACTTTGCCTGGCATCTTAATGATGACTAAGATATTACCAGGCAAATACCTGGGTGGAAGTTTCATAGTCAGGTTGCAACCACAGAAAAGGCTGTTTTCATTATCAACCACCTAGCTTCTGAAGGCAGGGGCAAATGGGACTCTGCTGATTACTCAGCCGTAGGGCAAGCTCATATAGAGGAGGCAAACCATGGTACAGTAAAACTATCTACTCAAAGTACCTTTATTCATAGTATCTGGACACAGTTCAATGTATTAGTCCTCATCCCTCTCTTTACTGACTTCAGCCACCTATACAAACCATCCAGTGCTTCACCTCGTGGACTAGATGAAAAGATATAATAGAGTTGGGCGTCACCTCTGCCCAGATGACTGCACCTCAAACTTCTAGACTGCCTCTCCCAGAGATTTCATGTAAATGTTAAATAATATGGGTGACAAAATAGAGTTTTGGTAACACTGTAGCACAAATACCACAGTATTAACCACCGCCTTCTCTAATTGACCTGCCAGATGGCAGTGGAACCAGTGCAGTGAAGTACCTCCAACCCCCAGTTCTGATACGCTGTCCAAAAACATACCATGGTAAAAGAATTATAAATGTTACTTTAAAATTACCATATTAAATTGTTTAAGTTAAATTGTTTAAAAATTAGTGTGCTTTTTAAAAAGTATATTGATATTTTGAGAAATTTATGTGAATTGAGATATTTCTACTCCTGATATATGTACCTATTACACTTATTCTATATAATAGAATTGTGCCTTCAGTAAATGGAAAATGGAAAAGCTTTTGATGAACAATACTTAATGACTTTTTGTTACTCCTTTATCCTTTCCCCATTTTTGTTTAATTATATAATTTAATTATATATTAAATAAACTTTTATATATACACACACACAAGCATACCATGGTCAATGGTACTGAAAGCCACTGAGAGTTTGAAGAGAATCAACACAGTTGCACTCCTCTGGTCTATCTCCAATGGCAAATTGTCCAATGTGATGAACAAGACAGTTTCAGTCCCAAAATCAGACAATGAGCTACATTAAATGGACTGAGGTAATCAGAATACTCCAGGAAAATCTCAACCCTGACTACTGACACCAAGTCAAGCACCTTGCCCACCCAAAAGGGATATTGGTGATCAGATAACAAGAATACCATGGGGGTCCAGGGAGGGTTTTTTAGGAATGGTCTCACAGTCACCTTCTTCAAAGCAGAAAGGACTATGCTCTCTGTCTCTCTCTCTGTCTGTCTCTCTCTGTCTCTGTTTCTCTCTCTCTGTCTCTCTCTCTCTCTGCAGAATTCATAACCACCCAGATTCAATGAGTCATTCCTCCTTGGCTAGTGTTTATCAGTGAAGAGGGGTAGGTGTCAAGCATATAATGGTAGGCCACACATCTCCAGCCACCTTCAGCCTACAACTGAAAGTGAGCTGCAGAAAAGGCTAACAAGGTACAAATGAAATGTCCTACATCTACATTTCCACATTCTCTCTCATTTAAACCCCATAAGTAAATTAAGGGCATTTATTGATTATGACAAAATGGATAGTTAATGCTAACCCACTCTGGCTCCAGAAACACAGTAACCTGTGCCCACATAACGGACAGAGGCTAACTTTTGAGGTAAGCTTCCCTTCCTCAAAAAAAAAAAAAAAACTAATGTAGAATTTTAGTTTCACAACAACCTGTAGGTGAGGCTGACAGTGACTTGCCCAAAGCCATCCAAAGAGTTTCATAGTCAAGCAGGATTTGACCGTGGACTTTACACAGCCAGGCCTTAAAGACTGCACAAGACTGGCTCTCTGAGTTACTGTAGTAGTAGTTGTTTTTCTTCTCCATTTTGCAAACTATACACAGATTCCATACTAACTAATGCAGACAAATCCACTACCTGATATAAGGTCAGCCTAGATGCAATTAGCAGGTCTCTGTGCTGAATAGTAAATATAATAACTGGCGGTGAAAGGATTCAATATTTTCAAATAGGCAAATGCTTTATGTCTATTATTTTTCCCGAGTACAATGTGGTCAGCCTAACTTGAACACACATTTTAAAGTGACGTAGCTGGATGAATGGGGGTTTCAAGGCTGCTTCATATGTTCTCTTTCTCCTCACAGAAAGAGCTCTTTCCAGAGAAACCTGCAGGGAAGCCTAGCATTGAGGGCAAATATTCACACAACGAAATATGTGTGTGTGCAATTGTCCTGTGTAATGACCCACATGTCACCTCAACAAAAATACTTTCCATGTACAAAAACTGAAGCAGCACTAAGTGAACTTCTGGGGATGCCTCAAAAAATTCTGTACAGTGGTATTTATTTTATTTTACTGTGTAAATGTACATTTGGGGATGTTCTGAAGAAGAGCTGTACTTTATCCGATGCTCTCATTTGTGGGAATTTTAAAAGGGGAGAGACTTACTGAAAGCTGCCTGATTTAAGAAGGCCTGCTTGGTCTCAATTGTCCAACCAATGTTATACCCATCAGACTAGCATTCCCAGGTGATTCAGAAGATAATGAACTGGCTAATTAAGGGTAAAATTAATGTCCAAGTCCCTCACAAGACTTCCCACCTGTTGATTAAGACTTCCATTTGCCTCCATGTTTTTCTTCCTGCTAAAAACTACAGGTTTTTTAAAGGGTCAAAAATCACCTCACAACAAAGCTCTTCTGCCACTAGAGGGAGACCTAAAAGGAGGCATCCTTACCAAATATAATACTGAAAATATTAGGGGAATCTATTTTCAGCTTTATCTACACTGTAGCCCAGACATCTACCAACCAATCAAGAGACTGCAGCTAAACTAGTATAGAATGCAGAATGTATTAAAAATCCCAGCAATAGACTCATGAAACTAGAAGCTGTGGGGCTAGAGAATCGACTGCATTATCCTCTTTGGATTGAAAAGGGCACTGATAGACTCGGGTTGTGGCTGAGATTTAATTAACCCCCTGCTCCCAGCAGCCCTCAGTCGGGCCATGAGGAGCCAAAAGAAGCAAGGTAAGTAGAGGCCCCCCTCCCGCCTTTCCCGGGCCATGCCTGGGCTCAGAGCCCAGGAAAAGGCCTGTGACCACCCCTTCCACCTTTTCCAGGCCGCACCTCGGCACAGAGCCCGGGAAAGGGCCTGAGGCCCCCCTTCCTGCCTTTCCTGGGCCATGCCTGGGTGTAGGGCCCGGGGAAAGCCTGCTGACCCCCCCCCGCCTTTCCTGACCCCATCTTTCCCGATCAAGCGCCCACCACTGCCACCCCCCGCCTTTCCCGGCCCACCTGCTCAGGGTACCCGTGGCCTTGCTGGTCCAGGGGAGTGACGGCAGGAGCTTGATTGGGGGTGGGCCATGGGGGTGGCGGGGGCTTGATTGGGGGGTGGGAGAGCCTCCCTCCCTCCCCATCTCTTTGCCCTCTTTCTATCCCTTTCCTTTTTTCCTTCTTTCCCTCCTTCTTTCCTTCTCTCCTTCTTTCCCTCCTTATTTCCGTCTCTCCCTCTTTCTTTCCGTCTCTCCCTCTCCCTCCCTCTCTCTTTCTCTCTCCCCGCACAGATCCGTGTGAGGGAAG